CTTATTATTTCTATTATTTCTTCATTCTTTCCTTCAAATTAATTATTTAATGATATATTTTTTCTTCAAAATTTAAAAAGGGGAAATTAAATTGGTGATGAATGTGCATCAGGCTTAGGTTCTGCTTTAGCAAATTGCATTAATCTCTCAAATTTGACACTTAACCTTGGGTAAAAACAGTTTATTTGTTTTGGATTGTGATATTTTTAATTATAAAAACTAATTAAAAACAATAAAGTTCTTTTTTCTTTTTCTTTTTCTTTTTATTGTGCTTACTTTCTTTCTTTGTTAATTTAGCTCATCACTTTATTTTCAACTTTAGCTTTTATTATTAATTAATCTTATTATTTCATATTATTTCTTCATTCTTTCCTTCAAATTAACCATTTAATGATATATTTTTTATTCAAAATTTAAAAAGTGGAAATTAAATTGGTGATGAAGGTGCATCAGGCTTAGGTTCTGCTTTAGCAAATTGCATTAATCTCTCAAATTTGACACTTTAGCTTTAGTAAAAACAGTTTATTTTTTTTGGATTGTGATATTTTTAATTATAAAAACAATAAAGCTCTTTTTTCTTTTTCTTTTTATTGTACTTGCTTTTTTTTGTTCTTTCGTTCTTTCTTTTTTTTTTTCTTTGTTAATTTAGCTCATCAATTTATTTTCAACTTTAGCTTTTATTATTAATTAATCTTTTTATTTCATATTTTTTCTTTATTCTTTCCTTCAAATTAACTATTTTATGATAAATTTTTTCTTCATAATTTAAAAAGTAGAAATTAAATTGGTGCAATGGGTGCATCAGGCTTAGGTTCTGCTTTAGCAAATTGCATTAATCTCTCAAATTTGACACTTTAGCTTGTGTAAAAACAGTTTATATGTTTTGGATTGTTATATTTTTAATTATAAAAACTAATTAAAAACAATAAAGCTCTTTTTTCTTTTTCTTTTTATTGTGCTTGCTTTTTTTTGTTCTTTCTTTCTTTCTTTCTTTGTTAATTTAGCTCATCAATTTATTTTCAACTTTAGCTTTTATTATTAATTAATCTTTTTATTTCATATTTTTTCTTTATTCTTTCCTTCAAATTAACTATTTTATGATAAATTTTTTCTTCATAATTTAAAAAGTAGAAATTAAATTGGTGCAATGGGTGCATCAGGCTTAGGTTCTGCTTTATCAAATTGCATTAATCTCTCAAATTTGACACTTTTTCTTGGGTAAAAACAGTTTATTTGTTTAGGATTGTTATATTTTTAATTATAAAAACTAATTAAAAACAATAAAGCTCTTTTTTCTTTTTCTTTTTATTGGACTTGATTTTTTTTGTTCTTTCTTTCTTTATTTCTTTCTTTGTTAATTTAGCTCATCACTTTATTTTCAACTTTTGCTTTTATTATAATTTAATCTTTTTATTTCATATTTTTTCTTTATTCTTTCCTTCAAATTAACCATTTAATGATAAATTTTTTCTTCAAAATTTAAAAAGTAGAAATTAAATTGATGCAGTGGGTGCATCAGGCTTAGGTTCTACTTTAGCAAATTGCATTAATCTCTCAAATTTGACACTTTTCCTTGGGTAAAAACAGTTTATTTGTTTTGGATTGTGATATTTTTAATTACAAAAACTAATTAAAAACAATAAAGCTCTTTTTTCTTTTTCTTTTATTGTGCTTACTTTTTTTTGTTCTTTCTTTCTTTCTTTGTTAATTTAGCTCATCATTTTATTTTCAACTTTTGCTTTTATTATTTATTATCTTATTATTTCATATTATTTCTTCATTCTTTCCTTCAAATTAATTATTTAATGATATATTTTTTCTTCAAAATTTAAAAAGGGGAAATTAAATTGGTGATGAAGGTGCATCAGGCTTAGGTTCTGCTTTAACAAATTGCATTAATCTCTCAAATTTGACACTTTATCTTAAGTAAAAACAGTTTATTTGTTTTGGGTTGTGATATTTTTAATTATAAAAACTAATTAAAAACAATAAAGCACTTTTTTCTTTTTCTTTTTATTGTGCTTGCTTTTTTTTGTTCTTTCTTTCTTTTTTTCTTTGTTAATTTAGCTCATCACTTTATTTTCAACTTTTGTTTTTATTATTAATTAATCTTTTTATTTCATATTTTTTCTTTATTCTTTCCTTCAAATTAACCATTTAATGATAAATTTTTTCTTCAAAATTTAAAAAGTGAAAATTAAATTGGTGCAATGGGTGCATCAGGTTTAGGTTCTGCTTTAGCAAATTGCATTAATCTCTCAATTTTGAAACTTTACCTTACGTAAAAACAGTTTATTTGTTTTGGATTGTGATATTTTTAATTATAAAAACTAATTAAAAACAATAAAGCTCTTTTTTCTTTTTCTTTTTATTGTGCTTACTTTTTTTTGTTCTTTCTTTCTTTGTTAATTTAGCTCATCACTTTTTTTTCAACTTTTGCTTATATTATTAATTAATTAATCTTTTTATTTCATATTTGTTCTTTATTCTTTCCTTCAAATTAACCATTTAATGATATATTTTTTCTTCAATATTTAAAAAGTTGGAATAAAATTGGTGATGAAGGTGTATCAGGCTTAGGTTCTGCTTTAGCAAATTGCATTAATCTCTCAAATTTGACACTTTACCTTGAGTAAAAACATTTTATTTGTTTTAGATTGTGATCTTTTTAATTATAAAAACTAATTAAAAACAATAAAGCTCTTTTTTCTTTTTCTTTTTATTGTGTTTGCTTTTTTTTGTTCTTTCTTTCTTTCTTTCTTTGTTAATTTAGCTCATCACTTTTTTTTCAACTTTTGCTTTTATTATTAATTAATCTTATTATTTCA